AAAAAAAAAAAAAATCGGAATAGATTAAAAAAATGTCGGAGTTAATACAACAACAAATGAGGTAGGAGACATCTCATGATCTGAGAAAAAGAATCCTTCTCCGGATTTGACTTCCCGTGTACTTTGCACGTAGAACAGTCATGCCTTCATCTCCACAACCCAAGATCTTTTCCACGTCTTCCATCGTTCCGACAGCGTTCACGACCTTGACGAGAATGTCATTATCTTCTTCAGGCCAGTCTAAATTGCCCAGTTTGTCTCTCCAAGTGCCTGCAAAACCCATAACCACAAAAAGGCCACAATTTGAAAGTCAGAAACCAACAGTTTTTTTTGTTTTTTTTTTGGGCGGCGGGGGGGAGCTGCGGGGGGGGGGGGGGGGGGGGGGGGGGGGGGGCGGAAGCGAACAGAAGTGTCAAAATCCCCAGCCTAAATGACATTCTATAAAATAAAAAAAAAAAGAACAAGAAAGAAAGACAGTCTCTGCGAACTAAGAGATGGAATCTACGGAGCCCATGCTATGGCAATCAGCAGCTTTGATGTCCCTGTCATTAACTTATTATTATTGTTCGAGAAGTCGCAATTCTTTCGAGTTTTTTTTGTTTTTTGTTTTTTCACGGAACAACGTTGAGGTGGTTGCTCGTCTACAACACGATACGAGTCCGTGTTGCCGTGCCGCTTTCATTTTTTGAAACATTCAGTCGGCTTTATGCCTTGCAGGCCGGCTACTCTACTCTCGCTTAATCTTCATCTTCATCATGAAGCTGCATGGTATACAGTACCATACACAAGTAACATTTAGCAAACAGAACACGAGTTCAAATCCCAGTGGAATCAGATGAACACAATAAAGTTAGGGGCAATACCCTTGTCAAAAGAAAAGATGAAATCTGGCAGGTAGGCTACCCTGGGACAACCAAAGCCTCACACCATCCTTGCAACTCCTTTTCATTTGGCTTGTTTTTTACTTTCTTAAACCACCAGTCCTTGGCCCAGCTATCGGCCGCGGCGCTTTCCCGTTAACGCGCCGCACCTTTAGGGCTTCGGGGTACCGGACCACAATGGCTGGAAGCGCCAGCCAAAAATTTTTTGAAACGGTACCCCGGCGCTTCGGCGAAAATTGGCGCGCAGGGGCATTCCAGGCTCGGCATCGATAGCCGGGCCAAGTACTGGTGGTTTAAAGTTTCCTTCTTATTTGGCTTTATTGCAAGGGACCTGGCTGTCCACAACTTGACAGAGGGTATCACATTGCATGCCAAGATGTCTTTCACACAGATAATGAAGCTTCACACAAAGCAAAGTTGAGACGAAATGAGAACCAAGGTAGCGCAGCTTATAGTATCACAACAACATTATAAAGAGCATCTCGAGTTCAAGAGTAAAGCGCCGAGTAGTATCACAAGTCTCTCTCATTCATCAACACCACAGGGGCCTGGCTCTGCCAGCGCCTCCTCCAGATGACAATACACCGCAGAACAGGTAAGTATCCACCATAGCCAACTAAGGAACCTGTCCCTCTCTCTCTCTCTTCTTGCTGTTCTCTCTCAAGTTCCCTTGTCTTGGTCCTCTCGTCCTACCATGCATCCACACTCCTACTACGAGAATCTACTCTGAATGCTACTCACTGAAGACTACCCCTAACCCTTCTACATCTACTAACATGCCGGCGCAGCTATGGCTGCTTCTGCCAGCCAGCGCCCAGCCCCTTCTCTCCTCTTGCGCAGCTTCTTCTGCCATCGCTTCCCCAGCATGCTAGCGCACAAGTGCCTTCAGCACTTCCACGCAACAATGCCACTGGAGATCTGCCGTGTGGGGAGGCTGGCTTGGTTTCTTATACTGCTGGCCTCCCTTCGCGAGGCCTGCATTGGCACACTTGGGTCTTCCCTGTCCCAGACCTCTGCAGTGTGTGTCCCAGTACCTTTTCCTTCAGGGTCTGCTGCTGCTGCGGCCTTCAGGCCTGAATTTCNCCTTTTCCTTCAGGGTCTGCTGCTGCTGCGGCCTTCAGGCCTGAATTTCGGACTTGGGGTCTGAACCTAGACCTCATGTTAGACTTTGACTGGACCGGGACCTGATCTTTGACTTCCCTCTGAACAGACACAACTTCAGTCCGAACAGACACACCTACTGCCCGAACAGACACATGCACTGCACGAACAGACACATCTCCTGCTTGAACAGACATGACTTGCACACCCTCTGGATGAACAGATGTGCCTCCCACAATTGAATACTGCATCTGTTCGTCCAGGGGTACAACCGTGACCTTTGACATGGTTTTTGCTTTGGTTAGGATGTGACTTTTGACTCAGAGAACATGCCTTTTCATCTGCTTTTCACGAGTTGGGCTCTGGCCGAATGACCCCACTATGCTGCATTCGTCATCCAGGGTCTGAATCGGGTAAAGGCCCTTTTATTATCCTTACTCTTCCTTAAAGTAGCAGCGGGGTCTCGCGTGACGCTCCCACGCGAAACCCGCCTTCCAGTGTTGGGAAAACAGCCGGGACAAGAGGCGGGCCCAGCGAAACGAAGAGTGGCTGTGTTTCGGATTCGCACGACCGGGCGCATGCTCAAACTCTTCCTTAAAGTAGCAGTGGCCGCCTTCCAGTGTTGGGAAATAAGCCGGGAAGTTGTTTTTGTTCAGTAGATTCGTTGGTTTGCTTTTTTCATCGAGTAGATTCGTTTTTCCTTTTTTTGGGGGGGGGTCTGTTTTGGCCCAGCGAAACGAAGAGTCGCTGTGATCCAAATTTGCACGACTGCGCGCATGTTTCGAATACAAGTACATAACAGCGCGTTTGGGTGTGTTCGGATGCAATGCACAAAAGACAAAAAAAATTGCTGTCATCACGTGTCACGTTCGGCCTTGGCTCCAGCACTCACCCAATGTGCAAAATGAGAATGAATCTGCCCATGCTCTCGCGGAAAGTTCATTCATTCACATTTTGCACACAAAATGTAGGAACTGGGGAGCCCACACCGCTCTCGAAGTGTGAGAAAGACAAAAATGTGGGGGGTGCTCTGCCCATCCTCTCTCACGGAAAGTTCATTCACATTTTGCACATTTCGGGAGCGGTGTGGTGACGCACTTGGTCGCGTTGTGCTGGCCTCGCTTCGGCCACTGCTGTGTTAGGGCATTGCCACACCGACAAAAATGTGGCCGGTGCATCTGGCCATGTTCTGGCAGGAAGTTCATTCTCATTTTGCACATTTCCAGAGTGGTGTAGCGATGCCCTGCCTCCGCTGCCTCCCTCATGCTCCCCGCCCCGTGTGCGGCGGGCATCCGCTTGTCAAAGTTTATTTAGCTTTGATAATTCTTTTTTTCTCCCTTTTTTCCTTTTCCCCGCAGCGAGTTATGAAGCCCGCTCTCATCAAGGTAGTAAATTTATTTCCCCAAACAGAATGCATAGGCTGTTTTTGGCCTTATAGCATAAATAGTAAATACATAAACAAAGCCAATGACATGTCAATCTCGATGATCTCATCTATTATCTAATTTATTTATCGTACCTCTACTATCCTTCAATATCTTTTCTGCCGCTTCAAAGACCCCTGATACAGACCAAAGCACTGTCAATACGTCTTCGCATGACGCTTTTGCGTGCTCCATCATATCTTCTACCCAAGTCCGGATTTCTTTTCTCCGCTCTTCGGAGGCACACTTAACTCCCTTCCTCGCGAGTCGCAATTCCCCCTTTTCGCCTTCGCGAGCCCTGTTGCCTTGTTCTGGTGGTTGCTTTGCATCCTCTCGCCTCATCAAAGCTGCAGTTGCTCCCTGCACCCCTGGAGAATCTGTTGCCGTCAATAACAAAAAACCGGTACCGTCACGCAGCACCCCCCCACTCTCTCTGTGCACCCTCCCACTCTCTTTGGCCTGCGCTCCTTCCGCTCCTGCTTCTTCGCATTTGTTATTGACGTCAGCAGCTTCTCCAGGCACAGCTGGACCCGACTCGCCATCTCTTGTGTCGTCCTTACGACGATCGACAAGATCAGCGGCGATGCCGATGCGCCCTGTCCGACCACAAATAGAAGAAGTTGAAGAACACATTTTCTCTGTCTGCTGCTGCGCTGTTAGCCCCGCTTCGTTCCGAGTTTCGACAGCCACAGTCGTCGTTGGCTCGGCGATGGAAAGGTCCTCCTTGCCTTTGCTGTCATCACAAGGCTCATTGCGGTGATGAGCT